GTGTTCATCCAGTGGATGCCACGGGGGATGGTGGGAAGAGGAAACCGTTTCCATTTCTAGCCCGAGTCTACAATGAAAGAACTGTTGTTGTCGAAGGCCCGGCATTGGATTATTCCGATGCGGGATATGACAATGGGCAGATCAAGGAAATGCTCAACGACGACGAAGAGGATGACGAGGATGAGGACGAAAACCCCGATAATAAAGTGGTTTGGGAGGCCATTGAGAATGCCGCGGTTCAGTTCAAAGAAGAGGTCATCAAGAAAAAGAAGAACAAGAAGGTTTACTTTCTCGAATTCCCCAAAGACGTAGAGCTTTCGGCCGAAGTCCTCAAATGCAACTCTAAGAAGGCAGATGGTCTTATGACTGTTGGAACTCTCCCCGTAAAAACGGATCTGGATATCGAGAACACGTTTGATGAGGAAGGCAATGCAGCAAATTGCCACAAATTACAATCGAGAAGCCGGAAGAAATGGATGAGGAAGTGTCCGTTTGGACACTTCACTCCGCTCCCCGTCTTATTTGGCGGGTTGCCGACAAGGCATTGGACAAGCGAGCACGTGGGGCCATGGATTCGGACGAGGAAGAGGAACCTCTGACCGACGTCGCGGCTTCCATGTTAAAGAAAATGAAGATTTCTGGCAAGAAGGAAAAAAAGGGTGGCAAGAAACGAGGTTGAGTGCTGAGGTGTTGTTCTGTTGGCCTTGCCATGTAGTCTCTAACAAGAATAGTGAATGGTTTTGTGTTGATTATTCCTCTTCATTCATCTATTTGTTCCTAGGAGGCACCGTTCCAACAAGACCAGTAGCACCGGCCCGCCCCGCGCCACCTGTTGCTCCATCCGGACCATCGTCTAACAGCAAGGAGCAGCAGCCAACAACCAAGACGAAGCAGCTTGCCAAGAAGCCGGCAACCAAGAAGCAGGCAACCAAGAAGCAGGCAACCAAGAAGCAGAAGCCACCGGTTGACAATGCTCTTGGAACCGGAAACAGTTTCGATTCTGACGACATGTTTGGCAACGATGGCAACCTATTCTCCTCTTCCAAAGACGATGACGATGACATTGACGAGTGGCTTCAACAGAACATTGATCAGCTTCAACAACAGCACGTGGAAACAGACGCTTTCCTCGGGGGCCAGAACGATGATACCATCATGAACGACAAAACAGGCCACAAGAAGAGAGGAATGGGTGAGATGGCAGCTAAGTCCGAGAAGCAGGGGCTGATTCGATTTGTGCCTGTGCCAAAGCAGGATGACAAGGGCGGAGACTACTAGCTAGTATGCAATATTACGATAAATCGCCCATTTACATATCACCCACGTAAATATTCCAGAGTGGGCTTCCATGCTCCATCTGGTACTGGCAAATGACAACAATAGCAGCAACACAGAGCTGGAGTTTGGCTTGGCCATGGCGATGGACGTGGTCCATAGCTTTGAAACTCTTTAGCATGCTGTTGAAGTACTCATGGCGCTTCAAAGCTCTCGATTTGAACCGACGAACATTTGCAGAGTCATGAGCATTTGGAGTGCTCAGCACATCACGATCGCCCGTGTATCCACCATCGGCAATAGCTTTCTTTTTCAATTCGTGCAACTTGTCGCGTAGGCCACCGTTGGCTCGAAACATAACACGGTCAGGGTTTTCTCCTGCCTTCTCAGCCGGCAAAATTTGTAGCACCTGACTTCGAACAAGGGATAGAACAATCTCGGTGTTGTATCCAGCCGAATGGTGCTTGAAATCGAACATACCGGGGTCCTTCGCCAATTCTGGATGGGCAACTTCCCAAGCCGCAGTCATAGTAGCATCAATAGAGCAGATCCAGATGTCATCTCCATGAATGTGATCATCAGGCCAATAAACTTTGGAGGCAAGGAGACCGGCTATTTTCTCAACAAAATACCAAACCCACTCTCGCTGTGTTGCCACCCGTTGTTGATATGTGCAATTCCGCTCAGTTTCAGTGGGATAGCGCTTCAGAAAATGCAGTGCCATGAAGTAATATTTCAGCTTGAGCTTCTTCTCTGGCACTCTTGCCTCATCAATGGATGTTGCCTGCAAGTCTTCCCAGATTTGAGCAGCCACAATAGGGATGGGACCGTAGCGATCCTTGAAGGTCTGAACCTTCGATTTCATACCCCATTTTGACAATCGCTTCTCTTTGAATCCAGCGAGTGCCAATCCCTCAGCAAGCATCTCATCTGGTGTCTTGATTGAGTACACTACATACCCATCATCATCATCAAAGTCATCTGACATGTTTCTTTCCTTCTCTTGTTTTGGTTATGGTTGTCTATTGGTTGGCGGAGGGTCGATCTCTGTTGTGGATGGTTGGCGGAGGATCGATCTCTGTTGTGGATGGTCGTCCAGGATCGATCTGGCCCTTGCTAGCTTCCGTAGATAATCCACCTGCCTAAACCCCTTCTATCTGTGTTGTGGATGGTCGTCGTGGGCTGTGGATGGTGGTCGTCAGTGTCGTCCCTGTGTTGTGGTAGATGGTGGTCGTGGTCATCGTCGCTGTTGTCGACGGTCACGAGTAAGGGATTGTTAAGGGATTGTTGAAGGTTTAAGGGATTGTTTCGAAGGCTTAAGGGATTGTTTTTAAGGGATTGTTTTTTAAGGGATTGTTTAAGGGATAGTCGAAAAATAAGGGATTGTTTTAAGGGATTGTTTGGAACCTATGGTCAGTCGTGCAAAATTCAAGATTTTTTAAATCCTGAGCGAAAACCGTCGGACGGTCCAGGTCCAGCCAAACCAACCAACTTTAGGATGTTCGTGCGCTTCACACGTGTTTACGAGAGCAAGGGCTAGAGCTACTAGCTAGTAGCTAGATCTAGAGCACGTGTGTGTCTGTCTAAAGTAAAGTTTCCCAGTTCCGATTAGAGTCATGGCTAAATACAAGGGCTCTGAGTTACAGTCGCCAGCTCCCTTGACGGGATGATGCGTGGCCTGCCGACGAGTTCGCCTCTGTTTGAATGTTTTACTCATATTCATCGCTATATTAAAAGCTGGCTCCACTCCACTTACTTACAAAGTTCCAGATCCAGGGAAGTCGGTCCTTCCATTGCCTTGTCTGCTTGTCTGCATTTATCGAAATGCGAGCACGTGACGAGCAATACCTACTCATTGGAGATCTGGTGTACTGAGCGAGGAGAACATTTTCTTGACATACGGAAGAACAAAGGTATTGTCATGGAATGGTTCTCCAAGAACGGGATGCGAAGGCAACCATGGTCTCCGTTGGCTCCGGTCATGTTAATTTTGTTGGTTGTGGCTACTGCATGCCATGAAGGATCAGCCTTTTCCATGGGTAGCCCTTTTGTGCGTCTTCAGCGATCATTTGCTGCCGAGACGAAGGTGTGGGACAGCGAGGGCGGAAATGTATTGGATGAATTGCTCAACACAACGTTGTCAGATGCCATTAGGCAGCAAATGAGAAGGCCAAAGAGAAATGGACGCACCAATGGAGAGCAGAAAGGGGATAATCTTTCTGCAACCACCAGGAGAAATTCTTTTTGGACAATGAATGTGTTCAAGAATGCCAGAGACACTGCGGGGACTCTTGGTGATATCATGTCGCGAGGAAGTGATGGTGTTGGTGTCTCTTCTCCATCGTCGGCCAAGGAGAGCAGTGCTCCTAGTTTGGGCCGAGGTAGTGGCTTGGTTACCAGTGCCGGTAAAGGTACTCTCGTTGGGCGTTTTGGGATTGAGCATCCTCTGGATCGCATGGCCTTAACAGCCAATGGTAATCTCCAACGACTCGTCTCTAGCTACTATGATGCACCAGTGCAAGTTGTGGTGGATTATTGTGAACCAGTATCTGACTGTGAAGAGGTTCCAGTGACTTTTCCTAACAATTTGCAGTACTCTAAGTTCCAACCCAAGCAGTGGGAGCGAACAGTTCATTTGACCGTGCACAATCAGGCAAGTCCTCTTAAAGTACTATGTTGTGATAATATAAGTTTCATGCTGGTTGCGTCTAAACTCTGTCTCTTGCACCACCAATGCACATTGCTTAGACGTTTTGCACAGCTCACTCCCAGGTTACGGTGTTCGACCCGTTTTGCCAGGAGCTCGTAGAATCAGGTTGGTCGACACAACTCCTGGCTCAAGGGAAAGCTCGTTTCTGATTGCATGTTTCTAACTTACTTTTTCTCTGTCTTGTCGTCTATTCTACTGCAACAGGTCAGGTTGGTCTGGGCCAACTCTTTCGCTACTTGGATATTCTACCAGAATTCGAACTACATGATGCTGGTCAGTATCCTGCAGAAAGAGGAGGTGGGTTTTGGAGAGAGTACACTCTTAGGTGTGCAGAGCTCTCTTGCGATATCCACGAAGATTTCCAATCAGGTGTCTGGGAAATTCGCCCGCAGAACTAGTAGCTACTATCATAATACCAATTCCTGCCACCCGCTATGGCTGACCAGCTAGCGAGAGCAGCTGTGGAAGAGCTGGTGATGGTATCTTGTACCCCCTAAGAAGTAGCACACGAGTTAAGAACTGGTTAATCATGGACAGATTTCATAACAGTTGTACAAGTATAGACTGTAGCTAGCTAGCTGGAAGGTCTATTGTATCGCGTTTAGAACAAAGCCTACAGGAAGGGTACGAGTAGCAGACAGAGATAGATTCGTTCCTCGTCGTAGTCAGGACCTGTATAGCAGAATTCGTCGTCTTCCGAACCCTTTGGGATAAAGCATATTCGGCGAAACAAACCAAGCCATGGTTAGTTGTTTGCGCTGGCAAAAACATTCGCCATCCCACGGCGCATTGTTGAATTGGCACCTCACGTCGTTTGAGGTGTTCTCCCCACTGAATTGGTTCGGCTGCTTGACTGTCTGTACTCAAAGAAACGAAGCAACCCACCGAAATGCTTGCTGATAGCCTTCACCACGCAACACTGATATCCGAAATGCCGATATCTTGTCAGCTCCGTGATTTTCCACCAGCTCGTCATAGTTCATTCTTTGACAAATATCTTTGGAGGAAATGGCCTCTGGTAGGTCACATTTGTTGAATAATATGGCAATGGGAATGTCCTCTACCAATTTCTCTCCCACCAAGGCATCCAATTCAAATCCAGCCTCTTCCATTCGATCCGCGTCCGTAGCGTCCACCAAAAACAAGACAGCGGAACATTCACAGACGTAGTCTTCCCAAATATGACGCACAGCTTCATGCCCTCCCACATCCCATGCCTGAAAGGTTAACCCTTGAAATGAGAATTTGTCGGATTGATACGGTCTGTCGGTGGGAGGAAAGTGTTTGACATCTCCAGTCCGTAGTCGGTGAAGCAGTGTTGTTTTCCCAGCATTATCCAGTCCCAACAATAACAGGGTTCCTTCTTTGCCACCTCCCAGACCAAGAGACGACAGTAGCGATTCCCACATCGAGTTCCAAAAATTGACCAATGCCGATGCCATGGTCATCTACTGAGATTGTCGTATTATACTGTAATAGCTCTTTTCTGCTTGTTGTGTGATCACGATCAAAGCCACTTTGACGACCTTTCTTGTTTGCAAGAGGAAGCTCGACTGACACTCGACTCAATCGCCTAATTCCTTGCCGTGTTGTGGTGTTGTGATGGTTGCCATTTGTGATTGCTTGGTCATTGTTGCGGCTTCAGGTCTTGATGAGCCCCACAGAAGCAAATCGAAGTGAACGTTTAGCCCTATCCCTCTGTTTTTTCCGTTACGCGCCTGTCACGTGACACTAAATCTTTGGATCCCATTTATACCGGTTGCATGCTCTTGCAGCTCGAAGCCAAACATTTATTTGGCACTCGAATTGCTTCTCTCGTGCTGTTGACATTAAATTTTTGCGGATACGAAATCAAAATCCTTGGACCAAGATGCCGAATTTGACGGAAATTCTAGACGCCGCCTCTCGCGCAGGTGAGTTTTTACAACTGTACTAGTAGCCCATGGCGATGGTTTGTTTGATGTAAGAGGGTTGTTGGAGCGTGGTACATCTAGTAGAAGCCCGTAGAATTTCAACGTTTGGGGATCGCATTGTTTTGGACCTACTAGTTGGGTCATCCCAAAGCATTGTTGCCTTTGCTGTAGGTACTCACCAATCCTCTCTCGCTATCCATTCCTTTACAGACAAACAGGCCGAGCAGGCACTGACAGAATGGGAGAATTCCAATTTTGCCGAGCTGGCCCTTGGCTTGGTGACGGAATTGGCAACGGAAGGGAAACCTAGCCATCTCCGATCGCTGGCCGCCATCCACCTGAAAAATATGCTGAACGCAAAAGACACACAGCTTCAAGCAGCCAAACATCAGAGATGGAAGACTTTGGATGCCGGCGCTCGAAATGCCGTGAAAGAACCTCTTTTGGCTTCGTTTCGGTCACCCGAGCCAAAGATTGCTCACTACGCCGCGGTCGCAGCTTCGGAAATTGCTGCTGTAGAGCTGCCCTTCAATGAGTGGCCCCAATTTCTACCAACCCTTCTGGAATACTGCTCCAGTGGCGCTAGCACTGAGACTATCAAAATTGCCTCGATTGAGTGTCTTGGATTTACGGCCGAACGAGCTTCGGATTTGAGCGACTTGACGGATGCACAAGATATTCCCGACCCGGCAATTGATTCAATGCTCACTGCTATTGTGGGTGGAATCCAAGCTGGTTCAGCCGAGCCTATCCGCTTGGCCGCGACAACCGCTCTGCGAAATGCTCTTGTTTTTTGCAACAAGAATTTTGATAAAAAACCCGAACGGGATGCCATCATGTCGGCCGTTTGCGATGCGACAAGATCCCCCGATGCTCGTGTTCGCACGGCTGCTTTCGATTGCTTGGCGCAAATCGCATTTCTTTATTACAATCACCTTCAAGATTACATGACAACAGTCTTTGAATTGACCGTCACTGCCATCAAGGGCGACGAAGAGCCGGTGGCCAAGAATGCTATCGAATTTTGGAATACTATTTGCGACGTCGAACAGGAGCGCTTGGACGAAGCTGCCGAATACGCGGAGAGTGGACAACAAATTCCGGCAGACAGGCGATGTGTGGAATACGCAAAGGCGGCTTTGGGTCAGTTGGCGCCCTTGCTTTTGGAGACTTTGACGAAGCAGGATGAAGACGCCGACGAAGACTCCTATAACCTTCACATGGCTGGCACTGTTTGTTTGGGATTGATCAGTCAAACTGTCGAGGACGCCATTGTGGCACCCATAATGCCCTTTGTCACGCAGAACATCCAGAGCCAAGACTGGCGAATGCGCGATGCCGCCATCATGGCGTTCCAATGCATACTGGACGGACCGGCCACCAGCACCATTAGCCCTGCGGTTTCGCAGTCAATCCCAGCTTTGCTGCAAGCAATTTCCGATCCGCACCCCATGGTCAGAGATACAACCGCTCATTGCATTTCCCAGATTTGCAAATTGCACGTCCACTCAATTCCGAATGAAATGTTCCCGCAACTGTTGCAACAGTTGATGGACAAATGCGGCGATCCGTCTGCGAAAGTCGCCAGTCAGGCCTGCAGCGCCATCCACAATCTGGCTTCGGCCTTCCAAGATGAGGCCACGGAGTTTCAACAAACGAATGCGCTGTCCGCATACATGAACCAGTTGTTGCAAGTGCTGTGGAAGGTTTGTGATCGTGAGGATTCTATTGAGTCTAACCTTCGCGTGTCCGCAATGGAGGCCATTGCGATCCTCGTCCAAGTTTCTGCGGCCGATCAGAAGGCTCTTTTGGTTCAGCTCCTTCCTGCCGTCATGGAACGTTTGGGACATGCCTTGAACATGCAAGTTACCGGAAAGGAAGACACCGAAAACAAGGAACAATTGCAGGGGCTCTTGTGCGCATTGTTCCAAGTGCTGTATCAAAAGCTTGACAAGGGTGACGTTGGGCTTGTAACGGACCAGGTGATGACAATGTTGTTGACGGTGTTGCAAGCACAGAATTCCTCGTGCCACGAGGAGGCTTTCTCTGCGATTTCGGCCATTGCCGACCTCTTGGAAGAAGATTTTGTGGTGAGTTTTGCAACTAATCGTTCTCGCCTCGTTTCCGTGGTCATGGCATGGAGTCGCTTACATCGTCCTTTTTGTTTTGCAGAAATACATGGATGCACTGAAGCCGTTCCTGATTGCAGGTCTTAAGAGCTTTGCCTCGTACCGTCTTTGTATGGTTGCTGTCGCCGCTGTTGGTGACATCTGTCGTGCGATCGAACACAGAATACAGCCATATTGCGACGAGATTATGACGGTGCTCGTGGATTCTTTGAAAGACGTTTCGATCAACCGATCCGTGAAGCCTCCTGTCATTTCTTGCTTCGGGGATATCGCTTTGGCCATTGGGGGAGCATACGAACCCTACCTTCAATTGTCGGCCATGATGTTGATGCAAGCAAGCAATACGCAGGCTCCGGAAGACGACGAGGATTTGATTGAGTACGTGAACGTGCTCCGACAAGCCATTTTGGAGGCATACACGGGAATTGTTCAAGGGCTCAAGGGTGGCCAAAAGTTGCAATTGTTCATGCCATATGTTTCCAGCATCGTCCAGTTCTTGCAGCAGCTTGCGGGTGATCCAAACCGCGATGATGGTGTGTTGAAGGCCGCGGTTGCTCTTGTCGGTGACATTGCTCAGGCAATGGGCACTGAGGCCGCCGTGAAATCACAAATCGGACAACCTTTCGTCGGTCAAATGCTACAAGCAGCATCGGCTTCGCCCAGCGAAGGAACTCGCGAGCTGGCTATATGGGCGTTGCAAGTGGTACAAACTGTCTGCGCTTCCTCCTAGTCACGTGGATCAACCTGGTTAGTCAACCTGCTTCCAGTTCCCTGCAAAGAGCCCGAAGAAAAAACGTGGATCAACCTGGTTAGTCAAACTGAAAAGGGTACAGTCATGTGGATTATTTGATGAAAAAATGGATTTCCATCTGAGCTGGCCCAGATCCAGTCGATCGGTCGCGACATGACCAAGAGATGCTTTTCTCTTAGTCGTATCGCCACCGGAGGGCTCTCACAGACACTTATCATATCAAACGGAAGGACATGGCATCCAATGGGTTAATCAACCACGACAGCAAGAAAGTCGGTTTCCACGGTTGACCTGTTTGGTGGCTTCTCCTCGACTTTGTTCAAACTCAAGCTGGCTACTATAAGTAAAAGAATAAAGATTGTCTGCCCTCTGAGATCATAGTGGTGTAGTTGCGGGTACCAATAGAGCAGCGGAAGTAGCTACAATAGATATTTATTCGTATCGATGATGTTGACACTGCTGCACGGAAGAGTGACGAGTTGGATGAAGAGGAACCTGCTCAAGCCACAACCCAAACCAAAACAAACTCTGTACCGAAAACAATCTACCACCGGTAGGTACCTCCGGAACCTTAGCTTAGAGATCTGACTTCATGTAGCCTCACGCGGGCTTTGCTAGCCAACCAATCACCATGAACGCTTCGAGGGGGGCACAAGACAGCACAGAACCTACAGTACCGAACGTGGGCTCGACAGAACATCTATCTTTCGAGCCAAGTCCACCCCTCTGCACCTCGCGGTACACTGTAACGGAGTGGGTTGAGGAAAAAGTGTGAAAAAGGAAGAAATATTTGTTTCTGAAAAAGTCAAATTAGTTGTTTTAGTCACACTAAAATCGATGACCCTGTCTTCAAGACATTGCCTTCTACAAGACTTAGAAGACAATGTCTTCAATTGAAGACAGCGTCTTAAATAGAAGACAGCGTCTTAAATAGAAGACAGAAGCTCGTATTGGCTGGGGATTGAGGTTTAATCCAAGTGACTAAATCTAAAGCCTACCCCATCTTCTGTATCACCTTCAATTAAGACAACAACAAAAGAAGACGGTGTCTTCGAACCCACTGTCTTCGAGACAGTGTCTTCGATCGAAGACGGCGAAGACAGCGTATTCTAAATAAAGAAGACAGTTTCTGCTACTAGCATGACTCAATTGGAATTAATTTTTACATTTAAGATTTTGCGTTTTCGCAGAATCAGTCATTTACCGCGAGGTGCTGGAGCGCGGCATACAGAAGAGCATCGCCCAGCCCAAAACAAAGCGCTAACCTTAGTGTTTCCACGTGGCATCCAACCGTGGCGGCTGGCTGCGGGAACCACGAAAAGATTGTGCCCATGATGCCCGACCGCTATCCTCCTTTCATAAGCTGACCGGCAGTCTAGTAGCTAGCATTAGACTACAGTACCAGCATTGGACCACCAGCATTAGACCACCGGCAAAGGCCTCCTTTCCGTTGACGACCCTTCCCCAGCCAGCTAGTAGAGCAACTATCACGATGGCGAAAAAGAAGCAACAAGGAAAAGCAGTCGAGACTGTAGCCGCGGAGCCAGTGCCAGACGAGGAAGAAGAGGATGAGGAAGAGGAGGAAGAAGAGCTGGAGCTGTTGCAAGTTGACTTGGGGGATATGGTGAAATTGAAGCAAGTTCTGGATGAGGCGGTAGCAAGCGTCCTGTTGGAAAAGTTAGACGAAGACTATCGGTGGGACAATTTCAAGTTGTCCATCATGGCCCTGGCATGTATCTTTGCCATGGTGGCACAATTCGCTCCCATTCCATTTCCCGAGTCGCGGCCTTTGTTGGGAGTCTGCGGCTGTGCCTACTTTTTGCTCAGTGGCGTTCTGCAATTCATTGCTACCTTCATTGATAAAGATTCCATACTGCTGACCAAGCCATTGAGCCCGGACACGGAAGCCGGCAAGAAAACATCAACAAAGAACGAATTGCTCAAGAAACATGGAGTCCGAGTGAGGTCCAACTTGCCACGATTTTCGGAATGGTACTCGGTGATCCTAGAGCACAGAATGGACGAAAAAGAGGCGAAATCCCCCTTTACGGAACAAAAATGGAGTGTCGGCAAATTCTTTGACAAGGAGGGATTCTTTGATGAGTTTGGTTTGATGAAAGAAGTAGAGGGCCTTTATGAGAGGTTCGAGAAGGGTGAGTATTCCAAATCTGACACCGAAAAGAAAAATCAGTAATCACGGATTACATACATATTGTGTAACATCTCCAACAGCTCGTCATGGTTCTCAATCGACACACCCTGTGCCTGCATGCTTCTGCGCGTCAACTTCGTGGCCGGCTAGACAAAGGGCACTTCGATTAGGCGATGGCGCAATGGCTGCAGTAAGAGAGAACAGGTGCCAGACACACGGTTATTCCAAATCTGACACGAAAAAGAAATATCAATAGCAATGGATTACTACAATGTCATTTTGTGAGGCATCACTAACGCTCGACATTGTTCTCAAGCGATTGGCAAAAAGCTGGAGGCTGCATGCACCTACGGTACACTTCAACTTCGCAGCCAGCTAGGTGAAGGGCACGTCAACAGTGCGATGACTTCAGAAAGAGAGAAGTAGCCCAATCGTAGTTCGGAAAGGCGATCACTACATCACTACCGCTACTCGCGAGACGTAGTTCGAAGAGGCCTCAACGTGACCGGTGCCACACCTCATAATGTAACACCCCATAGCTGCTGCCGTTGGGAACGTAGTGTTGAGATTGTCATTTCCTAGTTGACAGAGGAGCGGCAAAGCGCAGCTGCAGCCTGGCCTACAGTGGTCAATTCCAGTCCACGAACTTGCACTCGGTGCGCTCTGATTTTAAGTGTTTCGAAGGTTTTAAAACTTGCAGTACTGGGTACAAGGAACTTGACGAAACTTTTTTTGATTGTGTACGATATGCAATTACTCCCTACTGGGCACTTTTGAATTGGGCGGTTGAAATGCTCTTTAGTCCAAATTCAGCAGGAACCTTCCAACGGGAATCTTCAACGCGCTAGCTATTCGTGGCCGGGGTCAACCTCCAACGTGTTAAGAGTGACGTGACCCATTCTGGCTCAATTAGCCGAGACGAAAAGAAAAGGACATCGTTTGTTCCAGGTTAACCACGGAATGCCACCATCGATAAGGGATGACAATGGCTTCGCCTGAATGAAGAATGATACTCCTCCCTCCACTAGGTAACGTTACATCATCCACCAACACATTGGCATCGGACCAGGCCGAGCCGTTAAAGATGGACTTGAATGGATACATGCCTTCAGAGTTCTCGTCATTGGGTATGACAACGACCTTCTTCTTTCCCTCCACAACGTAGAGACAATTGAATTGGTCGGTGTCGTAGTGCAAGCCCGTGCTGGTTTTTGCGGCTCCTAGGAACATGGCCCAGTGGAAATCATCAAGATCGTACTCGTTTTGCAATTGGCGTGGAAACGCAGTATAGTCACGGAGCTCCTTCAAAGCGTGGTGAATTTCTTTCTTAAAGAGATTCCCGACGGCAGCAAAATCCTTCTTTTCAGCATCTACATCTTCGAGCTTCAAATAGTAGGTGCTGTTGCCGCTGTACATGGCATCCAAGTAGTCTCCTACGGAAACTTGGTGTACGTCGCTCTCATCGTGTCCCAATGTAGCTCCCATTGTTACACCGACTTCTGCGTTGCGGGCCTCGGACGAGTTGAAGTACGATGTGCTGAATTGATTGAATCCAGGCAGACTGAGCTTTATTTTCTTCGCCCGGAATACTGATGGGTCGGCGCCCCGACGAAAAATGGACGTGTGGAAGTTGACAAAGCGACGTTGTGCAAACCTCAGTGGATCGTCGTCATAAACTGCCGCTCTGTCATCTGGCAGGTCGTCAAAGTCAAGAATCTCGTTTTCGTTATAGAATGTCATCTTGGAGACGTCATCTGACTCCCAAGCTTCTTCATTCCATCCCATCACCTCAAGCTTCTTTCTCTCAGTTACAGGTATGTCGTTCCAGCGATGCTCCACCGGATCATAGCCGCGACGAGGCTTATAATACCGAGACCACTCTTCCTGTTCATCCTTGTCGGTAAAGGGAATGCCAAAGAAGCTTTCTTCTTCATCATCCGAAGAGTCATCTGCTACTTCCCAATAATACGCGCCACCAGCTGCGTCCTCGTCGTCGTCGTCGATACCGCCTTCTTCGCCGTCCGTGATCACTTGATTAGAAATAGATGCGGTGGTCGGATGCTCGGAGACAATGATGGCAAGACAGAGAACAAGAAGCCCTACAACCAGCAACAAGCAATGGTTAAACTTTGGCCCACGCATGATGTCAGTTTTCAGGATCAATTCACCGTTCGATTGAAAAGAAACAAGTCTTTTTTTATGCATCCTTAGCACATACAGATACGCTTCCGCAGCATCCCTGGCAAAGATTAGCAATCTGGCAAAGAAGAATCTGGCAAAGAAAGAATCAATCGGGCAAACAACATCTGGCAAAGCAAAATCTAGAAAGGTGGGTCAGTCACACTTAGTCTCCTCAGTCACACTCAGTCCCAGTTGCTCTGGTCATTCCATGGATGCTGACTTCGATGCTTCGATGCTGTTCCTTTGTCCTGAAGATCACCGGGTTGTTTCTTCGAGTTTGTGAAGTTTTGGAAAACACGGTTGAAGTGTGCGGCGAAGGAGTCTGATTTCCTACCATTTCGTTGTCTTTGAACACCATCAAAGTGTTCGAGGTTTCCTTGGGTTGCCACAATGTATTCCATTCCTGTGTCGACGCACTTAACGCAAGTCTTTCTAAAATTTTCAGATGGCACCGCTTCTGGTCAGCCCTGCGACCTTGTCGTTAGGCGCTGACGGCATCCACTCCAAGCTTACGTACCGATCATTATTTGCACCATCAACATTCCTAAAAGATTCGACAAGTCAAAAAGGTTGGAGCCATTTGCATTCAGGGGTTTTCACCTACGACCAATAAAATGAAGAACCGGAGTTCGTTTAGTTCCATACTGATGACAGTGGAGCGCTTGAGCTCATCCCTTGCACCTTGTCTTCGGGAAAGAAGGGCGTGGTTTCTTGATGTGAATTTAGAAATCCTATGGAAAAGCCTCACACGGAGTATACCGACATCGAAATCCTTGATTTGATTTGATTCGATTCGATTCGAACTCGCTTCACCCAGGACGAAATCCACAAGTGCGAGGACCAGGTTGTCCCAGATTCGATTCGTTGAAGCGTTGGAGAACCCTGCAAGGCAAGGATCCACTCAAACACAAAAAATGAACCTGCTGAAAGCCAAATCGCATCGTTTTGGTTGACAGATTCCTGCCGAGTTCGAGGCACGGAGCGAGCGGGAATGGGGTTGGCTCAAGCACTCGACAATCCATCCTGTTTGAACTCTCAAGTCCTCAAGCAATCTCTACAGCGATTCTTGAAGAAACGAGCCAAGTACACAGCGAACACTGTCAAGGAGAGTCGCATCATTATGGCTTTCGCCCAATCCCTTGATGCGCGTGGTGGCCAACTTTGGATGGTGGACGGGAGCTTCGACTTGTTTTCGTTCCTCGCAAGTTTGTCAAAGTCTACGAGCAGGGCTTAAAGAAACAACTTGGACCAAAGAAGAGATTGACTGTGGCTTGCTCCTAATTCCAGAGTTACTGGAACCCGGTCCACATGGAGTATCTGGGAGTAGGTCTTGCACTGTATACATACCAGTCTGTACTAAAAGGACGCCGATGAATAGCCGGTTGAAGGGCATCGGTGCACCCAACAAATCTGGCTCTCGTCCTTTCTCACGAGCCACGTCACTTTGATTTGTTGGTACACAAACGATTGACCAGTGATGAATTGAAACAAATGTCTAACTAAGTAAACCAGCCTCTCCATAAGGAGATCAAGCATAGATAGTCGATGAACCAGCAGATTGAAAGTCTAGCTTTATTAGACTAGTTCTATTGTGCCGGCCTGACAAAATGACTTGATAAAGCAATGCTCTGAGCTATCGCCGGATGTGCATGCACCCAAGCTACCTTCTCCACCAAATCGCTGATATCGTAACTCACGGGTACGTAGTGTTTGTAGGGTTCCATTACACCGTGATACCATTCTCTGTATCGGGAGGACTTGAAAATTACGGATCCTGACCGTGGCAGACCTGGAAAGCGCTGTGTGGCACCTATGCAAGCAGTGAGTTGAGGGTTGTGGATGGATGTCCAAGATAAAAAAGACATCAGAATGGGCATCCTATCGAAAAGGCGACACCATGGCATCAACCCAGCTCAGGGATCATGTCTTACCATTCCCATCGACATCTAGAATGTACTTGTTGCGTTGGAGTTCCAAATATTTCATGCCATTGGCAAACCGATATCTTTCCTTGGCGGACGAGCCTTCTTCATCGGGGCCTTGAACTGCACGGACAAAAGCAAAGTGTACAGAGACCAAATTGTCAGTGAGGGTGTGGACGTCAGTGCCACCAATTTTTTCTATCATCTGAAACCGAACTCCCGTGCCCCACTCCCCCGTTGTGCTGCCCCTCCAGTTGATTACATTGTCGCGTTCGACGAAATTGAGCCCTTGACTGTAGAATGGCCAAAGCCACAATTTATGAAGATGATCGGGCAGACTAAACCAAGCACGGAAGAGTAAATCTCTGCTAGCCTTGAATTTGGAGGCATTGGTGCCTCTGATGTAAGTTGCATTGAACGGATAGTGCCGTGATGGCGCTTCATTGTTGGGTATCGGTTTCTCATTGGTATAGTAGTCTTCCTTACAAGCAGAAAAGACACGAACGGTGGCATTGACACTGGAATCACGGGCCCTGTCGTGCAGATTGACAATAAACTTGAGTTTCAGCGGTGGCTTGTGCGTTCGCACTGGCTCTAGCAATCTTCTCATGAGATGCACAGTATATTTCCATTGATCCCAGGCCAAGCCCCGTCCCTTGCCTGGACCAGTAATGGTCAATTTGTGATTCTCTAAGGAAAATGCAATTAAAAAATCCCCCATCTTTTCACCTTCTCCTTCACTTGATTCGGATCCAATTTGCGCCCATTGTTGGCACGTCGAAAGTAGTCGAGATCCACATTCAAGGCTTCGTAATTCAAGCTGTGCACTTCACACTGATATTTCTGAGCATAATCCAACCAACGGGACATGCCGTTGGGTGGAGGTCGATGAAAACTTGCTTCATAGCTCTTGATAAACTGGTTCCAATCCTGCTTTTCTGCCGGTTTCAAGGAAGACGGCCGTCGCAAAAATCTCAGAACGGTGACCAGGAGCATACAAAGCAAAGAAACCCTAAGACAGCCCACGAAGTAGCGAGTGGAATACTATGATGACATCTTCGTCTGCCTTTTTGTTGAGTTGCTGGAAAGGCAAAAGGTAACAAGCAATCAGAGAGACACACTTGACCGATTGTTGTTCTTGCGGCCGTCGTGGTGGGTGGTGGCAGCGACAACGCATTTGTGCCATACCGGTACCGGTAGTAGTGCACAGTTATGAAACACCGAAGTAAAAGACATAAAGGGCATCTGCGGGGACGACCTGGCGTGCTGACCTTGTACCCTACGGAAGCTACCAGTGTCATACGATGTTGAAAAGGTGTGAACTTGAACGCACAATTTCTCTAATTTAATCAATATCCTTCCAGCTCTACTGTCTAGTAGACTGGCTATCTGAGGCGACTGAAGAGACTCGCCAAGTGACACTGCGGATACGCCCAAACGGAAAGCCAAGTAAGGTGTAGTAGCTGGAAAATCAATGATCTCCAACAAGAAGCTGGGGCATGCGATGAAGCCGCACTTACGCAGGACAGACATCAGTACGGGTGGAACTCACAGGGACATTAGAACCATGTTCTCACTGTGGAGAAGGACGAGCGAAGCAAGCGCCCGTGGCTAAGGAGACTTCAACGACATCTGAGATCCCTGGAGAGCGTAATTTTTATAGATTGCCTGTTAGTATGCATACGCTGGATGAAGGCACATCTAACCAAGGAGGAAAGTATTGGCGAGAACGAGATTACATTGATGATGCTACCACGCATACGATGGAGTAGGATCATTCAGACCAAAAGCGATGTCATCCTTAAAGTCAAGAACTTCATTCGAGTATGGACGCAGGGGCACTCCAGTACACTACATCTGCGATGGACGATGCAGGAGGAAAACAATAAGCTGATGACGGAATGTAAAACGCGATTGAAACATGTTTTGAGACGGAGTTAAGTTTGATTTAACTAGGACGCCGATAGCTAAAGCCTAACAGAACCCGGAAAGGTAGAAGCGATGGATGAAGTTGGCACCGATCGGATTCGGCCATGTTCCACGAAGCCCGGTTTTTGATGAGAAGCAACGAAAGTTTCTCTACGGAGATGCAGTCATGCACGTCACTGACTTGAGATGTACTACAGTCAGCATCTCAACGACAATCCAAGCTACCGTATGTTCTATGGAGAAGACATGCCACAACCTTATCCAAGTTGGATCGATTTGGAGAAGTTGGACTATCGTCAATTTGTTGGAAAGACTCAAGGAAACCAATAACCAAGATCGTGGATTAACCTATATGCTGTCACTTGGAAGACACGGAATCACAGTGAGCCGACACGTACAAGATGTACAATACCGCAACAGGAGACAAGTACTCACACGCGATTGTATCTGGATGGACAAGAGATGCCGAATGGAAGGGTATGGTGTCTACCCAGCACAGCAGAGAAGAACTCACACATATTGAAAGACAAACTCCTCAGCAGCCTTAGTTATCAAACTTGAAAAGCAAAATACACGAAGAGCGGGAACGAACCCTCAGAATCTGCTCCTACAAGCCCACGAGATACAAAGTAAAATTAAGTACGACTATATTCCACACTAGAAACACAAGAAGATTAATAAAGTTCTCCGCTATCGCACCCCAACAGCCCCCCAACTCACCTGATCCGGTCCGCGACCAAACTACCAAGGCAATGACGCGGGAACTACAGAAACTAGTGCGGGAGCTACAACACACCCAGGCCTTACAGACACTGGACAAGCTAGCGGGGTACACCTCATGAGGGGGCTCCCTCATGCAACACTTTCGGACGATGCATCCGAAGGAGGAGAGAAGATACAGCTCAGCATGAACAACCGGAATCACCGCCATATGACAGAAATGGCAAACTTTTCGACGATTCCAATGACAGAACGTTTTGGGAACGACACCTGAAGACTGGATGGAGTTTGGGTACACGGCATCAGAGGTAGATTTGACGGGAGGACTAGGACAGGCATCCACTGATCTAGAGACTCTCGCATAATGAGCCAAGAACTCAGGCCAGCAAAGTACAGGAGTAACTGTTCACCAAGCACAAGCACGTTCGAGGAAGCTTGGACCACGCGGAACCATTTCAGCGAGAGAAGTGGAGGAGGCGATCAAAGGCGAGCTAGACAAGATGGAGAAACTCAAGGTCTGGCGCAAGATCAAAGAGATCAAGAATGGAGGAAGAAGAAACGATGTGTCAAACACACATGGGTGCAGGAAATCAAACGGAATGGAAGATTCAGAGCTAGATTGGTGGCCTGTGGCTACAAGTCAGGTACCCGGAATTGAATTTTGACAACATCTACAGTCCGGTGGAACGACATCACCTTCCGCATATCTTGATTCTACTACAAAGAAGATGGGAAGAGCAAAGGCAATTATCTTCGATATTGAGACACATTCCTAAATGGAGACATGGACGTAGTCATTTACATGGACTGCCCAAAAGACTAGACCACCAAGACGACGAATGTGTCATACTGGACAAGACTTCTATGGTGCTTGCCAGAGCGACGACAGTACTACTTGAAGTTTGCGAGGGTCCTGGAAGACTTAGGATTCGTTACATGTCCTAGTTGTCCATGCCTCTTCATGCGGAACAAGAATGGGAAGATATGCGTGATTCTATGTTACGTGGATGACAATCTCACCATTGGAGAAGAAGACGATATCAAGGAAGTGCTTCAAGGGATTAAAGATCGAGGCTTGAACATGACCATAGAGTACGAACTCACGGACTACCTGAGCTGTGAGATTCGGATGAATCCCCGAAAGGATGCTGCATGGGTGGGACAACCCCACATGATTAAGAAGATTCAAACCACATTCGGAGAGGAGGTACAGAAGCTACCCAAGTACAAGACTGCGGGAACACCTGGACTCGGAATAGTAAAGACAGACGAACAGAGTGAATGGATCGCTGAAGAACAACAGAGCAGATATCGAACAGGAGTAGGCATGCTCATGTACCTTATCAAGCATTCAAGGCCAGAAATCTCGAACGCGTACGAGAGCTAGCTAAGGTCTTGGGATGCGCAACGCCGGCAGCGTACAAGGAAATGCTACGCTGTGTAAAGTACGTGTTGGACTCAAGAACCGTGGACTTTTGATGAGACCAGAGAAGAACGAAGGACCGTGGAAATTGGAAGTATTCTCGGATTCGGATTGGCCGGAGACAAGAACAACAGAAGATCAGTCACGTCCATGATGATCTTTCTCGAAGGTGTACTCATTCACTGGAGGTCCAAGCTACAGAAGGTCGTAGCATTGTCGAGTTCCGAAGCTGAGTTCTACGCGTGTGGCGAAGGAGTACGAGAAGTCCCGTTCATAGCGCAGATTCTGAAGTTCCTAAGATCAACGTGGAACTACCTGTGCAAGTGAAGATCGATAACGTAGGTGGCTATCTTTATGTCAGAGAAAAGACAAGTGCAAGTCGAACAAGGCATATGGATACGAGGTGGCACTACGTGAATCAAATGCAGCAGGACGGCCTAGTGAAAATTGATTTCGTTCGCTCGGAAGACAACGTGAGCGACATTGGAACAAGAATGTCAACGTCGAGACCTCTGACAGACATTGCACGAAACAAACAGGAGACAAGGAGCAATTGGTTTGAGTTGGTAAGAAGGTCGCTGCCATCATCGCGAAAAACAGGAAGGGTGTCAGAAAGGTAATTTCGTATGACGGACAGACGACTCGGGATCCACAATCACGGTTCGTGATTGGGGATGTGTTGACTCAAATCAGATGGTTATCCGATCATCATCAGATGGCCAGGTGTATGAGGAACTAGGACAATGGTCGTCTAGATGATGCAACTACAAAGGTTAGGAAGTTAGGTCGAAGAGATGAATGCAAGGAGCGACGGGATGGAGCAAATGAATGGACGGATGAAGGTCCTAGGTTTAGTAAAGTGGGAAAGCCCTCCAGGCCAACCATGCACTTCAGGAAGATAGATCGACGAGATCTATCTGTAGATGAAACTGCGAGAAGCAAGGATCGAAAGATCCTGGTATATGTATGCATATCGGAGCTCAGTTGTAGAGCTCACAATCTGAACGAGAGGAAAGAGAAAACGAAACAA